ATGTATAGATCACAACTTTTATAGCAACCTCCCTACTGTCATTCTGGCTTATCTAAGTGACTCAATGTTGGCAATGACTGAGGAAGTAAGAATTCTCATGCATGGGGAAACTGAGGCTCAGTGGGTTAAGTCACTGCCTAAAGGGGCAGTGGATAGCAGAGGCCGAGCTGGTACCCAGGCAGTCTGCACAGCCCTTGCTTTTATCAGAGAATTCAGACTATTACCGGGAAAGCATGTTAGCCTGTGTTGGTCATGATGATCATGAAAATCATGAAGACGTTCAGTTTACAAAATACTTTCGTATTTATTACTTGCTCCACACAGTAACCAGGGCTACAGGTGGACAGTATTTTTCACTTAGACACTCGGGTAAGTTAAATGCCTGAAAAAGCTTCTTTCTGCTATGATGCTGTTGAACTGGGCCCCAAGTTCAGAGTGTCAGATATCAGACTTCCCTTCTTTTCGTATACATCCTAGCCCAGGCTTTGCCATTTTTGAATGAATAGGTTTAGCAGGAGTCTTAAGTGACATGAGACCTTTGCCTCCCTCTGAGCTCTGTCAAGAGAGGAAGGGAAGGGCCAGAGGAAGCTCTGTGGAGAGGGCCAAAGTCCACAGCCAGCGTACTGCACTTTCCTGGTTGTCTTAATTACTTCCCCCACCAAGTTCATTGGTGCATAAAGCAAACATAAAGTCCACAGCCAGCGTACTGCACTTTCCTGGTTGTCTTAATTACTTCCCCCACCAAGTTCATTGGTGCATTTAAAGCAAACAATACTTTTACATTCATCATTGGGATCTTGTACCTTTACATGATACATCTTGGTTCTTATTTTTTCCCCATACCCTGCCCTCCCTTCAGCCCTTCACCCTTCCCTATTTACAAAGACTCTGTTTCCATTTTAAAAGTTTTTCACATTTTCTTCTTTTCCCTTATTTCCTTTCTTAATTACTTTTTTCTTCTTGCTGAGACAAAATGCCTGGCACCCAAAGGTAAAGGAGGAGATGGTTGTTTCAGCTCAGATTGTAGAGGTTTTACTCAGAGTTGGCTGGCTGCAGGGCAAGGCAGCCTGGCAGAGGAGAAGCAGCTCATGGCAGGCAGAAGGAAGGAGGCAGCAAGCAATGAAGTAGTGAAGCGGCACGATGACAGCAGCCCCTTTCTGTCCCCTACATCCTCTCCAGGCCATGTCCTTAGGGTGGGTAGCACTCACACCTGGGCTGGGCCTTCCCATTACCCACACTCAGAACTGTGCCAGCACCAGTCAGGGGGCTGACACAGTGGTCACACACCCTAACCCCAGCATCACACTCTGCATCCAGCTACCTCTGAAAAGACCCCCGTGACTGCGTGAAGCTTTGGGGAACAGCCACACACGAGCTGTAGCGCTGGTTGACGGTCCGATGATGTGGAAGTGGAGTTGGTGATGGGCTTCTAATTTGCTTAAATTGATAACCAGGAAGGTGGCAAATATTAAGGCCTCAGTAGGGAGTAGAGCTCAGTGGTTCTCACATCTACATTACTGGATTTCAAAAGTACAACAAAGCACAGCATAACAGTTCTATGTTTCACACCCATATATTCCTAGCATTTTAGGGATGAGCCAAGATTTGGAGGAAATCACATGCACTGCTGCATTTTCCATTTAACAGTTACATAATGTTCAAATAATGACAATGGCGATCCCAGGATCACAGATCACTGTTTGGTGGGTGGCAGGTGAATCTCCAGGCCCAAGCAGGTAGGTTTTTCTTCTCGGTGGGTAGCTTCATGGTCATTGCACTGATAAATGTTTTTGTTTTTAAATCAGCCCCTCTTGTGGAATTATAAAAGACTCAACACTGGAGACTCCGAACCGATCTTTAAAAGCAGATGGCTTTTAACAGGACACAAGCAATAGGCTTCCCAAGGTTGAAGGGTCCTTGGCAGGACGGCACTCGGTGCTGGCATTCATGAAGGTGAGGTGACAGGGGATTGGACATTGTTCGCATGAAATGTCTCTGCTTTGAATTCTAGCTTTTAGGTCAAGAAGGCAATTGGACTTCTGAGTCGAATCCACACTTCTGGAGGACGGTGCAGTGAGATGACCTATTTTGGTTAGCTCTTATAGATGTGTCCAGAAGCTCAAGCGGAGTAAATTCTCTGCCAGCATCTCTTTCTCCTTCTGTTTCTGACTCAGACTGGGGCAGTGACTTCCAGATTTGAGAAGTGGTTTGCAAACCATTTTGCTCTTATTAATTTGTTTAAAGTTAAAAGTGACTAATGATGACTTCTAATGAAATATTAGTCAACCTATTTCCCAGTCATTGCTGCTGGCAGTGTAAATTGGTTGATTCTTTATGGAAGAAAATTGAGTGTTTCCGGCAAAACTTACCTCTATATTCTTCAGGATGAATTCAAGAGAATAGAGAAAAACAATAGCAAAAAGGGATCTTCAAATGCTATTGAAATGGCAAAAACAAAGCACAAACCAAAATGCGGAACTGGAAAGTAAAACGCAGTACATTCATTTGATTGAATATTAAGCAAGATGGAAAAGATAACCATGAGCTCTGTATATGGAAAACATTTCATGGCATAACAGAACGTGCGAAAAGGATGTAGAAAGTTACTTTCTATAGAGAGTTAAAAAGCAATCAACTGCAACAGGGGACTCACACTGTTTTTGTCACTGCTATAATGTTTATGTCACAAACACTTTCAACACGCTAGTGTTCAAGAGCTGCTTAGCGCATGCCCCAGACAGCCTCAGGAGATGCCCAAGCCCACCTAGGTGCCAGCCTCAGTTTCCACGGAGTGTACAGGGCCCGAAAGCACCAGGCATGGCCTGCCCTTCAGCAGGGTTTCCATGCTTCAGGGTTTTGATCCCTCGTATTTTTTTCTTCTCATTCTTTCAAAAAAAAATTTTGACGAGAGAAATAAAGCTATTATCGACAGAAATGTGGCAATTTGGAACCTTGCTAGGATGAAGCACACTTTCTGAGACCAAGCAGACTGATGTTATGTTCTCACTCTCTTAGTGACAAAATCCCACTTCTGCAGATGCAGGGGAAACACAGGGACGTCGCCCTCAGTGATGTCATCACGGAGCCCACTGCCCATCAGGTGCCAGCACAGATCACTGGCAACTCATGAGGTGGGTGTGTTTGTATTTGATCAAATCAGCTCATTTGTCCTAGAGCTTAAACAATGCTTGTTAAATCACTACTAGTGCTGTCATGATTGTTTTCACCATGAGTATTGGTATTTACCCAGTTTTCCTGGAGATCATTGATATTAATTATGGATAAAGACAGATAACTAAGCTTGGATCATGGCTCCCCTCTCAGACACTCATCCAGGAGCCAGAGGAGGAGGGAAGAAGAGGATAAAGAACAGAAAATCTTTTTAAGAAAATGAAATAAAATCTATGAGAAACCTGGGAAGGCAGAAGGTATTTGTGCAGCTGTGTAAGGAAGAAATGTGGGGGCAGAAGCACGCAGAGCACCCACACGTCGTCCCCTCACCCGCTCTCTTTCCCTTGACTTGGGATGAGCATGGGGTTGGTCAGGCCAGCCTACCCTGGAGGACACCCTACTTTTAGCTTGCAGATGTGGCCAGTGGTCTGTGGACAGGTGAGCAGTGAGCTCATGAACCCAGGTGGTGACATAGGCCCCCTTCAACTACCCCGAGGACAGTCCACCTCCACAGTGCTGGTGGGAGGGAGGTTGGAAAATCACCATGTCAGCTGAAGGGACAGGAAATATTCAGGGGGTGACCCAGGGGTGGTTGCTAAAACCAATGAGTAGTATGGTAGATCAGCTGCCCTGATGTGCGTCCTGTCTTCCAACTTTGCCTCACAAGGCATTCTGAGACATGATGAGGGAGGTGGATGAGAAATGTGTCTGAATGTAGGCTGTTGGGACAGGGCGTGCTCCGTGGGTGGGCACATCAGGAGGGTCAGAGCATGAGTGGCTTTCTGCAGAGTGGTGCTCAGATGGCCCTGATGTACCTCAGGCTCCCCAGAAGAGCCGGAGTGCTAGGCCAGGCCGTGATCCTAGCCAGGCAGTGGAGCCCTCCCTGGGATGGACGATAACACATCTCAGTTCTGTGCCATCCCCTTTCCTCCCCACGCCACCTCTTGATCCTCTTTCCACTTGAGAAAAGATCTCCCTACTTCCTATTATCTATCTTTTATTTTGCTCTTTATTTATATTTGGGGGTTCTGGTGTAAGAGAAACCACATTGAATCCTACGTATCTGATTTATTTCACTTAACATTAGGATCTCAGGGTAAATCCATTTTCCAATGTTTATACACAAGAAGAATAAATGAGTCATTTCTAGGTACATTCTTTTTTTTTAATTTTTTAAATGAACCATTTATTAAATCAGATTGTTATTCTTAACAGTTATGTAAGTTACATGTATGTTTAATTCAGAGTATTTCACATGAAAAATTTTAAACTCCTATAGGCAAGCAAAATTGTACCACACAATATGTAAGTGGGAAAAGAGTACTGCTAGACATTCAAATAGGCAAGTATAAAACAATAATAAAAAATTTAAGCATTCCTTTAAGAGAATTCAACACTACAAGCTAAATGTACTTTCTGAGTATATTCATATATTCAAGGCAGTGTTTCTTTTTTTAAAACATCAAGAAATGGACTAAGGCTCATTAATAGACACAGCTGCCCTCAAGATTTCAATCTCAGTTGCTTTCTTTAAATTAAAATTCACAAAGTGCACAATTAACATATATCAAAAAACTGAATCTGCTACTGTAACAATAGCTGACCATGCTTTCTTAATACTTAGTGGTTTATTGGACCAAAGTATGTCTTCTCAGGAAAAAAAAAATAAGCCACTATAAAATATTTAGTTTGAATTGTATGCTAATACTTTTCTTCATAGAAACCAAAAATTATGGAGGAAGGGGTTATTTATCATAAGGAATAGAAAGCAAAACACTAGAGTGACCAAACATTTTCAAAGAACAAGCACCGCAAAGGACATGTGCATTCAGTTTTGTAATATTTATCAATGCACTTTTCTTACTCCAACCAATCTACTTCATCAAATTCTGAATCATCTTCTGAGTCACTATATTCCACAGCAATATGTCCAGAGAGGATGGTGGCAACAACATTTTCAATGCGTTCATGCTTAGCTTCCTGTTCACGCTGCTCTTCTACTTTGCGTAGCTGAATACCTTTTCGTATTGCTTCCAGTAGTACACTCCTGGCATCACTGATTGCAGGTAGGGTTGATGGTGATGCTTTGGCTTAGAAGCAGATATAACTTGTGATGGAGGAGATGGAGGCATTAATGGAACATGCGGACCGGGGGCAGTAGATGGAGTTGGATGTAGCCCAGAGGGAGGACGAGCAAGAGCTGCAACTGTGACAGGTGATGATGGTCGAATGCCAGGTGGAGGCAGAGGAGGTGGTGGTGGGGGTGGAGGCAGCCCCTGGACTTCACCTTGTGGGAGTGGACGGACTGGTACAGTTTCACATACTGGGGCAGCTCTAGCTACTGGTGGAGAGGGCTGTACTAGAGGAGGTGCCATTGGTGGAGGAGCTGGGTGAAGAACTCCAGGGGCGGTCTGGAGAGGAGCTGGAGGTGGTGGTACTGCTGGCGCTTGCAAAGCAGTGGCTGGAGGTGGAGCGGGGGTACTGATCGGGAGGAGCTGAAGTCACTGAAACTCTCAATGAAGAAGTGGACAAGGCAGATGGAAGAGGTGGTGGAGGAGGTGGGGGAATGGGACTCACAAACACAGGTGTTCTGCCTGTAGCTGATGACTGAGGACCATTTTCTATCCAACCTGTAGTAGAACTGATACAGGTGGGAATGGGTTTCACATCTCCTGCTCCATGCATGGGTGGAGGTGGAGGTGGTTCATGGGGTCTGACTAAGACCCTCTCCTCAGCTCTAGTCAGAAGCTCACTCATCTGACTAAATGGCAAGGCAGAAAGTGAATGAGATCCATCCATATGGTCCACATATGTCTGAGGTTGTGTTTCAAAATGAGAGTTGGGGCCATTAGCGACTTCGATGTGCTTATGTAAGAGATTAGCATCATCTCCAGCCAGCTCTGGACCTTGGGCCAGCTTCTGCCACTCTCTCCGTCTGTCATGAGTTGCTCTTGGCACTTTTTTCTGGTTCATGAGGACGATCTAGATTTTTCTGCTTCTGTTTCCTCTTTTCCTTCCTCTTATCCTCTGTATCTTGCAACATTTTTTCTTTCCATAGATCAAAGAAATATGAAGGATTGGTATAAAACTTCAAACCCTCTTTACCACCATCCCTATAAGGAGTGAGTATATTGAGAGGTGGAGGTGGTTCACAAACATCATATGTTTCCTGTAATGGAACAGGCAAAGTCTTGTGGTCAAAAAGCTGCTGATCTTGAATTGTTGAGCTTTGGAAAGCTTTTCTCATTGTTATATCTTGCAGAGACAATTCTTCCTCTTTCGGGTCAAGCTGTGTAACACTAACAGATAAGCGGTCCACACATTCCTGCAATGAGTTAACTCTAGGTACATTCTTATTCAAATGGAACCATACAATAAACAACTTTCCCTGGGACTTTTTGCGAATCTCGGTGTAATCCTGGAGGTAGCGATATCAGCCCATTTCTTCACTTTGTAGCCCATGCACTTTCTCAGAGTATTTCAGTCACCTGCTGCTTCTGTACTATTATCATTTAATGTGAAAGAAGCATGTTTCAGTGAGGACAGGAGGATCGAGTGCCTTGAAAAGAACCTTAAACCATGCTGCAATTTTCCCTGACTGAAACAAGCCCTCTCCTGCCGCTTTCTGCCCTTGGGGACAGACCCGCACAGTTCCATGAGTGGTAGTGAAGGTCTCTGGAAGAGCTGGCGGTGGCACCTCCTCGAGGGTGGCTTTGTGCCATCTGCAAGTCCCTGGGCTGTGGCTCCTGGGCACAACCACACTGCTGGTTCAGTGGGGCCACGGGCGACACTGGCTTGGTTTTCACATAGGCCATTTCTTTTGCTGGTTTTGCTGTAAATTCTGCTCGAAAATGAGAATGAAGTAAATTTAGAGGCCACCTCAGCCAAGGTGTCTATTTGTTGGGTGATTCTCGGCACAGGGTCACAGACACGGAAATAACATGTGGGACACTGACAGGAACATGATGTTTCTGAAATAAATCACTCTTACTCCCTTGCTTTTTTTCTTATTATCCTTCCTTGTTTTTCTCCCTTTCACTCCTGCTTTCCTTCCTTTCTTTTTCTCTTTCCTTCCTTCCTTTTCTTTCTTTCTTTCTTTCTTTCTTTCTTTCTTTCTTTCTTTCTTTCTTTCTTTCTTTCTTTCTTTCTTTCTTTCTTCCTTCCTTCCTTCCTTCCTTCCTTCCTTCCTTCCTTCCTTCCTTCTTTCCTTCCTTCCTTCACGCCCTGAAAATACATGATAAATAAGCTTTATGCAAACCCAGATACAACCCCTGCCAGACTATTACATTTCCTTGTCTCATTTGGAGGCCGTGATGCCCATCTGCTGGCACACAATGGAATCACAGAGCAGAATTACCCCTGAAGGGATTTTGGTGGGACCCAGGCGTGTCTCAGAGCCCAGGGTGCAGCTGTGGGTCCTGTCAGGCTTGGAGAGTTCAGGGAATGCTCACATGGAGTCCGGCTAGGTTCTGGCTGTGTCACTGACTCACTGTAGGGACTGTGAGCAAGTTTATCACTTTTCTATAGTTGATTTTGTCATCTGTGAAATGGGGATAATCACAAGGTCCACCACATTCAGGCAGTGTGAGGGATGACAAACTACATGCAAAGCATTTGGGAAAATGCTTCTCACACAGGAAGCCTGGAATCAGTGTGGTCCATTCTCCTGCTTGGTTATTTCCATTATCACCTGTCAAGCAGCGTGGTCCTTGTCTGGGCAGGGGTAGGAGAGGGGCGGGATGGAGAGCGTGCCGTTTGCCACGTTCCCACTGAGGTGCCAGAAGCAGCATCTGTCCATTTCTACCACTTTATTTCCCAGGCGAGTTCCATTGTATGAATTGCTATAATTTGTTTATCTGCTGAGAAAAAAAAAAGCAGTTGTTTTCCTTATTTGGCCATTATGATTTAAACCACTTCTTCTGAGATGACTAGCACCGACTAAGAATGTGAGTAAGGTTCTCCGAGAGAGGACGTCCCCAGCTGGCCGGATGTGGCAGTGGCTGTGTGGCCCAAGACCACGGACTTGGTCTGCCTTCCCCATCCTGCTGGATGGCTTCCCTGTGAACGGTGGCGGCGGCGGCAGCCTCTGCATCCCCATGACCTTTGGTTCCGTCCCGACTTTCAGTCCGCGTTCTCATCGCCCAGTATCTGATAACGTCGGGGTGATCAGGAAGTAAGTCAGTGCACATCTTCTCAGGTTTCTTTCCCTTCATCTAAATGGAAATAAGCACAAAAAGGAGAGGGCAACTTGCTCTGGGTGACTGCAGTTCCACAAGTCTCCGGTTAATAAGGAATATTTACTACGAGGGTTTTTACACTGTGTAATGAAGCCAGTGCCTGCATGGGCTACAATGTGACTTCCCCATTTTCATTTATATTGTATATTTTAAAATTCTTTAACGTCTTCCACTTTAGTAAAATACTTTTTGTGACTATTTCAGTGAGAGGTTCTTTGCCATACTTATTTTGCACAGAAATGAGACATGCTCTAACTTTCTCATTAACATTATTGGGCTTTCAGTGGCAAAAGACACCTATCATATATAGAACTGCTGGTTTCTCTGCATGGACTTAAAGAGTTTAGCTTTATTAAATGATTAGTATAAGATATGAAGGCTTTTTTCTTATTTTTTAAATCTGTAATTATTTCACTAGCCCCTAAGGATCACTCAATTTCTATGGTTCAACACTTGGGTCTTCATATATATGCAAACATATTTTTAAGAAATTTAAAATTCACAGCAAAATCATGTAAAGGGCAAAGGGATTTCCCATAAACTCTGGCCCATACATGCATGGCCTTCCCCACTTTCCACACCCTCTCCCCAAGTCTGTGCCTTCACCCTAACTGAGGAGTCTGAGCTGATGCATCCTGGTCACCCAGAGTTTGACTACATCAGGCTCACTCTGTGTCAGAACTTCTGTGGGTTCGGACAGCTTTATGTGGACATTTATCCATTGCCACAGCACCAAATGGAGTGGTTCCACTGCCCCCCAGGTCCCACTCTCCCCTTCACCGCCAGCACCCCCAGACATGGTACCACCTCCATCATATGTGTGTCACGGAGTTGGAATCATACAGAGTACAGCCTTTGTAGACAGATTTCTGTCGTTTAACAACAGGCACAGAAGATTTCTTCCTGTTTTCTCACTACTCTTATCTCTTTTCAGCACTAGCATTCCATCGTGTGGAAGAAACACGGTTTATTTGTTCATTCACCTCCTAAGCGCCTTCTTGGTTGTTTCAAGTTTGGGCAATTATGAGTGACACTGCTGCAAGCCCTGTGTGCTGGTTTCTCGGTGGACATGCTCATGCCATTTTAAAATATGACTTTTTGTAATGTATTCTGATCACCAGAGATGGGCCTGATGGGGGGAGGAGAGAGCATGACAGGGCCCTTTCGCCTGTTTGAACCCTCATCTTTTTGCCCAGTGTCAACAACCTTGCAGGACTTCCTTTCATATCTTCTGAGATTCTCAGAGCAGCCCAACTTCATTGTGAGGCATTCTTGTATTTCATCTCCTAGGTAATATCTGTCATATGTACTCTTTCTGCTTCTGAGAAAGGAATGTAGTTTGAACCGGTTTAAGAAATAAGTTCACAGGAAGAATTGGGCCTGTGTGAGTATGAGACACCTCGATCCAGGGTGGGGACCCCATGGGACACTCCTGGGGCAGCCAGGCAGCACACTGGGCCTACAAAGGGTGCATTTCCTTGAGAGCTTGCACCTTGGTGGGCGACTTCCAGAGGAAAATCAAGCATACATGGGATTCTCCGTACAGTTGGCTCCCCCTCAGATCTGACAGCATTTCTGGAATTTAATTGATTTAAATTTATTATGAAGAGGAACCAGCATGGGACCCTTTGGAATCTCTTAGATTCACTTTCCTTCTTTGAGCCACGGAGCAATCATTACAGATGTTTCCGCGGCATTTTCCGGGTGCAGGCCAGCCCAAGGAGACTGTGTCCTCTCTAGCATCGTTCCCATTCTGTGTCCAAAGCAAGAGTCACCACCCGCCTCTATCCTTCCCCGACCTTGTTTCTTTTGGGTCTGCCTCTCTCAGCCCCGCCATAGCGACTTGTCTTTGGACTTGGAAATTCCTACCTCCAAACTCTGTCCACAAGTGAATTAATTATGCTTCTTAAGGAGTTTGCTCATTCATGCTCAGATGTATGTAGGAACACGTGTTCTTTTGGGTTTATACCCAAGAGTACGAAAACCTTCAAGATCTTTTAATATTTTGAGTTCTTTATATATTTTAGATGTTAGTTCTCTGTCCAAGGAATAGCTGGCAAAGATTGCTTTCGCCATTCTGACTCTTTACCCTTTGCTCTTTGCTAGGCAGAAGCTTTGCAGTTTGACATAATTCTATTTGTTGCTTCTCAGTATTATTTCTTGTGCTACTGGGGTTCTGTTCAGGAAGTCTTAGACTTCCCACCATAACAAAAACTTGATAAAGCCTTAATAAAAACTGGCCCCCAAAATTAATAGATACTTTTCAGAATAATAAGCCCAAGTATATAAAAAAGTTCAATGTCACTGATCATTAGAGAAATGCAAATTAAAACTACAGTAACATACTGTCTTTCCCCAGGAAAAATGGCCAAGATGTCTAACAATAACAGTTGCTGATAGGAATGTGGAGAGGAAGGAGTCCTCCTCCATGGTTGGTGAGAATGTAAACTAGGGCAACCACTATGGAAACCGTTGTGGAGATTTCTCTAAAACTAAAACTAGAAATTCTATTTGACCCCGCTATCCTCCTCTAGGTATAGCCCCCAAAGAGTTGAAAGCATCATATCATCGGGATTCATGCACACCCACGTTTATAGCAGCACACTTTGTAACAGCTAGACCTTGGAGATAGCCTAGATGTCCATCCACAGATGGATGGATAAGAAAAGTGTGGTGTTTGTACACAATGGAGCACTGCTGTGCCACAAAGAGGTATTTGAGGCATTCATTGCTAAGAGGATGCAACTTGAGAACGTAATAGTGAAATAAATCAAACACAAGCTTAAATAGTGCGTGCTTTCTCTTATGTGAGAAAATACAATTTACATACACAAATAATGAGCAAAGTAGAAGAAAGATAAATAGGAAATATAAGTTCAGATAATTCTCTAAATTCCTGACTCCAAAATATTTCAATAAATATGCTAATCCATTTCATTTATACTTCTAGCTTCTCTTAGTTTATTGAAAAATAAAGTTTTGTGCTATTATCTGCTTCTGTGTAAGAATCTTTTTGTCTCTGTGGAGCTACCTTTAAGATATGATACACAGTATATTGACTATTCTTCTTTCATTATTTTATACTAATTTTGTTTTATTTTTTAAAAAATAAAAAAGCACTTCTAAATCAAAGAATTGGTGGATCACAGTTTCCTCACAATTTGGCCGGTGCTGTAGTGTGGATATCGGGGTTCCCCCAGAGTGCCTTCTCAGGCTCCCGGTCCTCAGAGCTCCGCCCAGCCCAGCCTAGCATCTCTGGTCCCCAGGTCCCCTCCAGTTTGATCTTTCTGCCACCTGCTGTGAATGTCATGCGGATGGAGTGCTGTAGTCCATAGCGTTTGGCTTTGGTTTCTGGCATTTAGCACAGCACATCTAAGGTTCACCTGCAGGACTTGCATGTATGAGTGGTTATTTTATTTTACTTTGTTTTGTTTTTGAGTAGCTTTCAGTTTTGGGGAGGGACCGACGTTCATTTCTCTATTCACATGATCATTTGGGTCATTTTATGTGCAACAGTTTTTATTTCACTTGAGGAAATAATTAGAAGTGGGCTTACTGGGCTCTAAGGCAAGTGTGAGCTCCACTGCATGAGAAACTGCCAAACTCTTTTCAAAAGTGACTGTGCTTGTTTGGCATTTTATGATCTATGTATGAGAATTCCACTTGTTTGCTATCCAAGCCAACACAGTATTGTTAGTTTAAAATTATTTTGTAGTATTAAACATTAGCACTTCTAACACGTTTAATGATTTCTCATGGTTTTAATTTGTATGTCTCTAACGACTAATGTGGTTATTTTCCATCCATATATTTTGTTGGAAAAGATTTTCCAGTTTTTAATGAGTTTTTTTAATATTGAGATTTAAGAGTGCACGTTTTCTCTATGTATTTTCATAGTTTAAACTTTTTCTGTCTGTTTCATATTCTGGATAAATTTCAAAAAATTTTCTCAGTCTTTACAATATGTTGTCTGCTAGTGCCTTTATTTATTTATTCTGTGCAGTGCTGGGCTTTGAACCCAGGGCCTTTGCCTCCTAGCCAAGTGCTTATCCAGCTATGTCTCTAGAGCCCAGAACTTTAAATTGACTCCTTTAAAAAGAGGTATTATCATTTTTGTTTCAGGATGTCTTTTTTTAAAAAAAAACATGGAGGCCATTTCTTATTTTAATCTTTGAGTTGCAAAAAAAAAAAAAGAAAATCCTTATTTTAAAGCTGCTTTGCAAATATTTAGGCTATATTTTGTTCCCTATGGGGTCATCTTCCTGACAGCTGGGTCTATCAGGAATTGCGCTCAGTATCGGTGTCTCCCACACTGGTGCTGACCTCCATCCTGTCGCTCTCCACTCTGCCTCACCTCTCCCCTGGCAGCCTGTCCTCCCAGTCACCCTGCAGTCACCTCCACCTGGTTCCAGGGCTCACGGTTCGGGACCAGCTGCATCCACAGCCCACTCCAGATGTCCCCGAGGTCCCCAGGCAGCCTTGGGCTCCTGTTGCCTCCGGGCCTGATTCCTCCTGCCCTGGACAAGCAGCTCCATGAGTCAGACTGCCTCCACCCCTGCCTTCTGTTCCCTTTCCTTTCTGGGAGCTGGAGTCTGATCCCAGTGAGCTGCAGCCTAGTTTGCCTTTGGTCCCCTCCACGCAGTAGTCAGCATTTGCATTCAGAGCCAGGGATAGCAGGGACAGGCCAGTCTCCACATCCCCTTGTGTTTCTGTTTCTTTCCTGGACTACAAAGATGTCTGTCCTCGGTCACTTCCCCTCATTTCCTCCGTTGCATGTTCTCCATCATCACTGTGTGCTTGGAGGAGGTGGGGGCAGGCCTGGGATATCTGGGTGTGAGTTCACCGCCCCACCTGGGCCACAAGCTCATTTCCTTTGCAGGGCTGGGTGCAGGGCTGGGTGTGGGCCATCATACACTGACAGCCATGCCTTCCACGTGAGATGGGTTAAAAGTAGTGAAAGGAGACAGCATAGCAGCAGGACCCTAAGTCCCTGGCTTTCTGTCTTCAGAATAATGTTTTGAAGCTAGCAGACTTTTCGTGACCTCTCACAGGATGAGGGACGTCTATGGTGACTAATGCGGTACAGTGTCTTAGAAATTCATGGCTCTGGCTCACTTACCAAGACGCCAAATGTCTCCAAGGGAATTTACAGTCTGATTCGTGCAAGACTTTAGAAGATAAATCTGTAACAGCTTCAGAGGAGCAGCGGAATTAATGGCTGGCCATCTGGCTTGGTTTTATTAACCTATTTGTTCCAACGGTGCTTGTTGGCTTTGCACCGGGGACGAGTGAAGATGAACTGGTTGGGAGGTATTTTTAAAGGACTTCTGAGACTTGTGTCTCTGTTCTCAAGAATGTGTGTGAGACAACGCTGCTGAGACGATGCTCACTCACAGACAGGCACCGATCTGCTAACGTGCACCGACGCTGTGTTGGACGGGGTGCGGCCTCGGTCCACAGACCTGGGGGCTGCTCTGCTCAGGGGCTTCTGGGTCAGGCGCACATTTTCTCAGTTTGAGATTCCTCACTGGGAGCTAGAAATTCCGTGAACACTAAGTAAAAATCTTGCCCAGGGCCCAGTAGGGCTCTCCTTTGACTTCCTTCTCTTCCCTTCCTCTCTCCCTCTCCGCTCCATTTCTCTTCTCTTCTCTTTTCCGTTCCTTGTCTCTCCCATCATTTGTTTTTCTCCCCGCCGCCCCTTCGCTGTGCACAGGATGTGCTTCCCTTTGCGGGTTTATCAGGGATGGCCTAGAGACGGTGCTGCCGTCTAACTGCACATCCCTTGGGTCTCCTTCGCCCAGCTCCGCATTTCCAGTCCTCTGCCCTGTGTTCCTTAGGCGGAGGATGGTCCTGCGGAAGAAGAGATTCACCGGGGCAGGGAGAAGAGAAAAGAGCCAAAGAAAGGGTGAGGAAGAGAGAGGGAATGAACCGCACCCGCCACTGCTCCAAGTCCTTCCTTTTCCAGGACTCGGAGATTGGAATTTGACCTCAGACTCAACAGCCCCACTGCGCTGTGAGCCTGGACTGCAGCACCAGGTAGCCATCAGGGGGGAAGGAGAGCAGGATAAATGTGAGGAAGTGGTGGTGGGGGTCTTTGGGAGGCTGAGACGGGAAGACCGCAAGTTCAAATCTAGCTGACGGAAATGGTAAGATCGTGAAACCCTATCGCAAAATAAAAACTTTATTTATTTATCGATTGGAAACAGAGCCTATGTAGCCCAGGATGGCCTCAAACTTGTGACAATCCTCCTACCTCACGCTCCTGAATGCTGGGATTACAGATGTATGCCCAGCTGAGAGCAGGATAAATGTGAGGAAGTGGTGGTGGGGGTCTTTGGGAGGCTGAGACGGGAAGACCGCAAGTTCAAATCTAGCTGACGGAAATGGTAAGATCGTGAAACCCTATCGCAAAATAAAAACTTTATTTATTTATCGATTGGAAACAGAGCCTATGTAGCCCAGGATGGCCTCAAACTTGTGACAATCCTCCTACCTCACGCTCCTGAATGCTGGGATTACAGATGTGTATGCCCAGCTTCAAAAAACAAAACAAAACAAAACAAAACAAAAAAAACAAAATTTAAACTGGGGTGTGGATGTAGCTCACTGCGAAGGTCTTGGGTTCATTGCCAGTCCTAGAAAAGAAAACGGCACGCGTTTGGAGCCCCCAAGCTGGAGTCTTACCTCTCTCCTCCACGCTGCCCAGGCCACTCGATCGAGCCAGTGTTCCTGTGCCTGGGCACTGGGGATAGCGCTGTCCGCGACTGCACTGCGTGCGCACCACTCTCCCTGCGCAACGTGGGTCGCTGTGCCCCAGCTAGCGTCAGGCCCTCAGAGAACGGCTGCATCCTAAGGGGTGCTCACTTCTTCAGGAAGTGAGGGCCCTGGGTCCGCGTTTAGCTTTCTCTCCGCCTTTTCTGGTGGGCTCAGGAGAAGGACACGGGCCCGGCAGCCTGTCTCTGGAAGCCAGGAGCCAGGTTGGTTTCTGGGCAGGTCTTCCCTTCCTGACTCTTGAGAAGACGGAGGGGACACAGACGGGCGAGACAACGACAGGGAGAGGGCATTCGCTCCTTCATGTCTAAGCTGACTTCTGCGGCCCGGCGGGGACACGGCGGCGGGGAGGACGGTGCCCGGGAGGGAAGCCTAGTGGGCGAGGGCGAGGGGGCCAGCTGGGTGACGGCTGTGTAGCCAGGGTTTTCCTCCTCTGCCGTTTCCAGGGCTGGGCTGTTTCTGTCCCATGGGGTGTGAATTTATGAGCTAGAAACGGTGGCCGCCATCTACATCCTCTGCAGTGTTTGTGCAGCTCTGCTCGTGCATTTGTTCATTTTCTCCATGACTTTGTGTAAGGCGGGGAATAGCCTACCCCCACCGGGAAGCTGAGCACTAGCTGAGCTGCTCAAGGCCAGGCTGAGAGGGAGGGCAAATTCAAATCCACCCTGGTCCCATAGCCGGCGTTGCACGCAGAGGTGAAATGTGAAGGTTGCAGCTTGGAGGGCTGCGTGTGGGTGCACGGCGCATGCTGGGAATGCTCGGATCAACTCCGGGATGCTGTGACCTTTACAAGGTCTCCGCCTCTCTGCAGCGGACTCTTCTGCCCCTGCAGCGGTAGCTGAGACCTATCAATGGTCAGCGTTCCTCCCTGGTCTGCACAAACTACTCTCTGTGTGTCTGTGACTCAGCCACTTTCGCCGGCCAGCTTCCTGTTGGGCTAAGGGTCCAGGCACTGCCCCGATGTCTCGAACCATTGCTCCTGTTTGTGCCCACCACGTGGGGCACTAGCATGGAGGGGGTTATCTAGGGATCACCCACTCTTCCCCTGAGCACGGCCGTTGGCTGAGTTTTTGGCGCGGCTCTCTGTATTGATGTATACTCTCTGTGTGTGTTTCTCAGCTCAAATAGCTGCTGGCTTCAAATAATCCCCTTCTTGACTGTAATGAGGCCACATTTTGTTTTCTCTGTAAATAAATGAGATCCCAAATTATCCAACATCTGCAGAGCTCAACCTGGCACCAGGCTGCCTCCCTTTTCTCGCATTCTCGAGAACACAAACAGGTTTGCCATTTACTCTGTTGAGTCTACTTTTTGAAATATCTGCTTTTTTTGCTAGACAGTGAATTTCAGGCTTTGTGGCATCGTTTCCTTGACATTTGTAATCATGTTGCTCTGCATGACTGAAGTCAGTCCAACGTAACTGGGGCCCTGCTGGATGCCAGCTGTGCTGGCTCCCGGATCAGGGAGCGCTAGGTGCTGTGTTGAGTCCCTGCTGGGCACCGTGCTCTGAGGCTGGAGGGGCAGTGGGAGCTGCAGCCTCCAGGGCCTGCTCCCCCCAGCCCCCACTCCCATCTCCAGGGAAACCTCTGACAAATGCCACAACTTCTCTGGCTTGCAGCTTTGTTCACAGAATCCATGAGTAGGATGCAGTGAGCCAAACGTACAATCCCAGAATGCTGGAGTTTTTAGAATCTTTGTGCTGAATTATTGTGCAATAGGTAAAATTTCCCCCATCCTTAGATTCAATGGACCACTGCTTTGTGGGGCTTTCAGGTGTGCATTTTTGCTGAACAACTCTTTAGAACACTAAGGCAGAGTGAAATTTTGCTACAAATATTCACATGGCAAAATTCAGGGCGAATGGTCCTTTCTTTGCATGAATGAGCTCATTAATTTTCTTTCACAGGCATTTTGAATGTTGGATCAGAAAGATACACATGACTATAAAGATACAATTTCTCATTCTTTTCCATTTGTTTTAGTTTTGTTTTAGTTTTGTGATTAACATCAACTGATTGAACACGTTAATGGCTCAGTGGGGGATTTCAGTGTGTGTATATATTGCACACCGAACAAGTCAGTGTAGTTAGCGCCTCCTTCTCCATGTCTTTTCTTTACATGTGGAGCCTTTGAGCTCTTCTCTTCCACATCTTCATAAACACACCACAGATCATGGTGAGCTAAGTCAGCCCACTGTGCTGTAGAAACCAAAACTGGTGCATTCTGTTTTGGTACCTGTTATCCAGCCTACTTTTCTCCTCAACTCTCCTCAGCCTCTGTTACTTACCATCTAGGTTGAATATTTTAGCTTCCATATATGAGAGAGAACACATTGTACTTGTTTTTGCATCTGATCTGGCTTACTTCATGTAACATAATATTCTCCAGCTTCTTCCATTTTTCTGCAAAAGATAGGACGAAATCTTTCTAATGGCTGAATAATACTCCCTTGTGTATATGTATGGTACTACATTTTCTTTATGCATTCATCTGTTGATCGTCACCCTGTCTTAGCTATTGTGAATAATGATGCAATAAACATGGAATACAGGCATCTCTTTGATATGCTGATCTCATTACCTTTATGTGTGTATCCAGAAGTAGGATAGTTAGATCACATAATAGATCTGCTTTTAGTTTTTGAGGAACCTCCTACTGTTTTCCATAGGGCCTGTACTAATCAACCTTACCACCAACAGTGTGTCAGAGTTCCCTTTTCTCTATGTCCTTGCCAGCATTTGTTAGGCTTTTTAAAAATAGCCATTCTAATAATACTGAGATGATGTCTCATTGTAATTTTTTATCTGCGTTTCTCTGATCTACTGGTTGAATGATTGAACTTTCTAATGATTAAACTTTTAAAATACATTTGCTGGCCCTTTGTATTTCTTTGTTCAAGAAGTGATTATTCAGATCATTTACCCATTTAAAAAATAGACTACTTGTTTCTTAGTTTTATGAGATCTTTATGTATTGTTGATACTGATCCTTTAACAGACGGGGAGCTGGCAACTGTCTCCATTCTGTAGGTTGTCCTCTCGCTCTGTTAATCCTCTCCTCTGCCTGAAGAAGCTGTTAGTTTAATGTAGCCATAATGTCCATTTTTGGAGTCATGTCAAAGAGATTGTACCAGTGTCTCAATGTGATTTTCCTACATTTTCATCTAGGGTTTTCTGAGTTTAAGATGCACTCTCATGTCTTTGACCCATATTGAGGTTTTTTTTTTTTGTTTTTGTTTTTGCACAGAAAGAAGGATGCAGATCTCAGTATTCTGCAAGCAGAGGCCTGGTTTTCCTAGTACTGGGCTGAGGGGCCTGGCCTTGCGGGTGGGTTTGAGGGCAGTGCTAGTACACGTGGAGGTATCCAGTGGCTGCCTTATGTCTACCTCAAATCCAGGCATCAGTTTTCTGTCACTACCACTCTACACTGTCTCCTTTCCCCTTTGACTCACTGTCAGAAGGCACAGGCTTTTCCTTGTTATGAAAGCTGAGAATGAATTTTCATGGTATTGCAAAAAAAATTTAGAAAGTCAGGTGAGTTATGTTTTGAGAAAACTCAACACAGGAGGTAAAATATTATTGAACGAATATAGTTATAGCAGGAGAGCTGGATGCAGCAGAGGAGACCAGCAGCAGCTTGTGACCCTTTGGTAGATCTGCCTCTTAGGCCCAGCACAATAGAGGAGCCAAGCCACACAGGTGCCAACACAGCAGTGTCCATGACCCTCACCCCTGCGAACAAGAGAATGAGGGACTCTCTGAGGCTCCTAGATGAAAAATTGAAGCCCACTGCGAAGGTGAAGAAAATCTCTGTGATAAAGGTACACCACACCACCATAGTTGGAGGGACCAGCACCTCACATCAGAACCTGGTCTAACTTCAGGGGAAAGATAGCTAGAGCCTACAGTAGAACTTGCAAAGTTCAAGCCAGCAGGTCAGAGATCTCAACTTGGGCCTTGAAGCCAGAAATCAGGCTGAACCTCAGGAGATAGCTGCTGGCTTGCTGAGACTAATTAACTTAGACCCGTACACTCCTGCCCACACTGTCTATTGAGTCAACAGCGGCATACCCTGAAGGAGGCCCTCTATTTCCATTAGTATTCTTAATTTGCAGAGTAATATTTTTCTCTTATCTTTAAACATTTTAAAAAATTTATCCATCTTTTTATTTTCTCAAGTTTTTCCCCAATTTTACCTTCTTTTTGTTTCTTGTCTTCTTCTTCTCTCTCTCTCTGTCACTTTCTCTCTCCCACCTTGTTCTTCATTTCTGTCCCTGTTTGTTCCTGTTCCTGCCCTACTTCAAATTTCTTGTTTTCTTTCTTTTTATTTTCTTCTTTTCCCTTCTCTCAATTGCCATTAGCTTTAAAAGAAAGTGATCACAGTCTCTAGCCTCCCTATTGCTGTTAGTTTGTTCTGTTCTTGTGTACATTTTTTTCTATCTTCTCCTCTTCTCTTCAACAGCTGTCTAGAGTTTGTTTGACCTTCCTGTGGCCTCTGGCCTCACTTCTAACCTTTCTCTATCCTATCTATCTATCTATCCCTCACTTTCCAACTCCTTCCAAGTCCCCATCCCAAAAGGTCAAGTTGCTATATTGAAGTGTTTATTCATGATAAACATATTTTGGGCTGATCCTCAATTTTGATTTAATTCAAACAGTTAAAGGTGATAGATTAATAACTACAAATTGTCATTTTCTAAGCTGTGCTTGATGCTCTTGTGTTGCTGATTGTATCACTTGGGCTAAGGTGTTGTGATTGATCTAATCAGTTGTCCTTCCTGGTATAATGAAAATGAGATTGCCTCAGAGTCATAAGAGACTCAAAACCTAAAGACCAGTTATATCTGGATGATCAAATTATTAACGCAGTAATTAAACCAGTGACAATACCAACAATAAAAATAGAAATGAGAAGACATTTAAACAAGGCACATACACAGACTTCCACCTCAACAAAGGTAAACTCTGAGGGAAATGAGGAGGAAAAGTCTGACAGTAAACCATCTGGACACCCTGAACTGATAGTACAGGAAGTTAAAAAAACAAACAAACAGATAAACGAGGCTCTAGAAAAATTC